CCCCAAAACCCCAAAACCCCGTTAAGGCATTTATTTAAAAAAGAAGTAAATACTCAAATAAAAAAGCTAATTTATTTAAACATCTGCTATAATTTATTCCATAGTTATTATTTATATTTATCTTATTTAATCTATTACTGTGCCTTACACTAATGAATATCAAGATTAAACCTACCAATAAGTTTTCAGATTCTATAATCTCAGATTCACTTTAGGTTCCATCAAATAACAAATTATCTACAAAGGAATTGACAAAGGAATACTCAACAAGGAATAGTTTAGCGAATAACAAATTTGAAGATACTTCAGATGCTGGATATTTGATGAAAAATAATAGTTACTAAAAAAGCTCAAGAAAAATTGAAATGAATAAGTAATCAACTATGGCAGTCTAAGATGACTATATTGAGAGCTAAGATAGTAATACAGTTAATGAGTCTTTTGCAAAGAATAACTATAAAATTGATGACATATTAGAGGATTTGAGCTTTGAACTTGCATATGAGAATGATGTACCTTCATTAAGGGGAAGATTATTCAAATAATCAACTAAGCAATTATCGTAATTTGCTTAATTAGCTCAAACAAATTTGAATATTCCAAAATCAACTTAGCATGATTAAGATTATACTTAAAAGAAGAGTGCAGCTGATTAAATTCAAGATGTAGTGTCTCCTAATAGGAGAGGAATAAAAGAAGCTTTAGGAAATGTATTTCTCAAAAGAATTATCAATATCAGTGAATATATAGTTGCATTCAATGTCTGGAACTTTACTAGACTATTCTTTTATCATTTGATTTTCTTCTATATTGGTCAAGGAGTTATCCCTCTAATAATGATGTTTGATAAAATTCAACTGGCAAACAATCTGAGTTTTTGGAAATATAATGCTCATTAATCAAGGTTCTTTTTCATTTAGAATGGGTAATGGATAGCTCATTTGACGATGAGCACTTTAATGTTTGTAAAATATTATCATCCATTTGATTATCACATTGACTTGAAGAATATTTTCTTGGAATAGTACCTTTTCTTGAATCTTCAGATTCTTATTAGAAGCTTTATCATTGCAGTAAGGTATGGTTACAGCTCTAATTTGAGGTTTGCATTGCTTAAGACTTAAACTTAAGGAGGTGAGTTTATTGCTAAAGATTTGCTAGTAGTAAGTTGGATCCATACTCATCCAGCTGGGTTAGATTTAGAGATTGAAGCAGTGCTTTGGAGAAATTAAATTGAGGAGGAATACTTTAAGCTCTAATTTTTTGAAGAATTATTGCCAGTTACTTATGACAAATTCACTGATTCAAATTTCTATGAGAAGGAAGGAAATGAATTTAAAATGGAAGCTCTGAAAAAGGAATCGATTCTATATGAGAAAAAATTAAAGTTAAAACAGGAGTAACTCAAATCCTTTGATCCATTTAATGATGATTATGAGATGTTTTCATTGCATGCAATCAAGAAAACTCATCAAAACAAGCAGCTCTGCAGTGGAAGATTGATTTTTAGAGAAATCGGACTATTCGCAGGAGCTCATGCTACTACTGTTAAATATTTTATAATGATCACATCTGCAACTAAGCTATTCTTGCCTTTTCTAGCGAGATACTTTGAGTATG